TGGAAAAACCCAAATCCCCCCCCCCCCCTTTACCGCGGGAGAAAATTCAAATTTTTTATGTTGTTGTTCATTTCCATGTTGATTTTAAATTATATAAGATCATGGGAAATTGGAAAATCAGTACACCATACTAATTCATTATCAATTTGCGACGTTTCGCTTAATATTTAAGCTTCCTCAGGCTCTGGAAACCAACCAAATACAAAAATGAATGAAAATTGAATTACAATAATGCAAAAAAAATCATTTAATCTAAAAATACTGCACTATAGTACATTAGAGTACAAGGGCACAAATTTCGTTTTCGACGAATGTGAAGTTTACAGGCCGAGCCGAAGGCGAGGTCTGTATTCACATTCGTTGAAAACGAAGTTTATGCCCGAGTGGTCTATTAATGTATTATGCGTCAGGATAAAATTTCTCTGACGTAGAATAAAATTTGATCATCATATATTAATTTTTACTAAATTTCGGGATAGAAATGAAGAAGCGATGGCCCATGATACACTTTTATAGAACAGTAGGATAATTTTTATCGAAAATCTCTCTCCGTGTTATGGACGCTGTTGTACCCTTTATCTATTATGTCATGAGGAGAATTGACTTTACATGACGTTATTTCACATTTCTGATTGAGAGTTTCTCTCTAATACTTCCATTATGCAGTTATTGTCTTCAGTAAGTGAAGCCTCAGTTCACCCGCGATGAATTAATATTTTCCATTTGTTTTATTTCGCTCCAGGTGGTACCAATACATGGGGGACGCAGAGGCGAATAATTTGGTGCCATTTCAAATCGATTACATTTGGAAGCCAGATGAAAATCGCGGACTTAAGGACCCATTGAACCCTCCTGCGAAACCGTGCAATGAATCTTTTGCTGTTAATATCATCACTATTCTTTCACATGAAGGATATCCAAGTATTGTATACAGTTTGGTACAGACCACACTATATAGATTCAATGATTTTCAATCATCAAATTTGTCAATTAAAATGCGTGGGGAAAATTTGAAAACATCATGGATATTCAGCGTCATCAAAAATACATTTTGCACAGAATTATTACTTTTTTAAAAATTCGTTGTTTATAAATGAATAATTGAAATTGTTTAAACTTTCGGAAATTTTTTTTTTTTACATGAAATCGATTTCTGTTAAAATTCTGAATAGCGGAGGGTAGCGTAAAATGGACACTTTAGACTTTTTTTAAAATGTTCATGATGTGTTGAATTGTTCATGAAATTCAATAATTTTATTTTTCCATTGAAAGAACAATTATTCCTTATTGTGATGAGTTTAGACTGAGCTCAATTGATAAATCTGCTTCTGAGTTATGAATATTTTTAAAAAAGCCAGAAGTGTCCATTTTACCCTACGCTCCCTACAAAGAAAATAAGTTAAGATTCCGAGCAAATGATTTTTATGGTGGAAAATAGATTGTTGATCAATTATTTATGCAAAAGGCTCGTAATTTTAAAAAATTGCAATTTTCAAATTATTCCATCAATCTTCCTTCAAAAGTAAACTCTCTAATTTTTTTTCAAATTTTTAAAATGTTTTCTATAATCATTCAATATCGAGGTTCAAAGTCAGACCTGCAAAGTTTGAATAAAAAAATTATTGTAAAATGTCCGGAAACTTAGGGTCAAATGAGACTCGAATGAAAGCTCTGATGTTCTACTACGGGAGGGTAGGGCAAAACGGACCGCTAGGTCAAAACGGACCACTGACAGAAAATTGGTAATTTTTGTTTTTTTTTCTTTCCTTCAAATCAGGAACACTGAATGTGTTGAACTAAAAGTGAGTTACTTGGAATGTAACCGTCACAGGGGTTTTATAGACAACAAGTGCCATTGAAACGCAATTTGATCAGATTTGCTAATCACCTCAAACCACAAATGACTTCGAATTTGCTCCATTCGGAAGCAAAAACAAAAATTATCAATTTTCTTCAGTGGTCCGTTTTGCCCTACCCTCCCCTACAAAAGTAGAAAAGCATTTCACTGGAGAAAAAATAGCCAAAGTACTTGGATATCCTTACCAATTTTTCAAAAACTCTAGTTATTAGTGTAAATTTTTCAGAATGCCTCAGCATGCAGTTGCGTGGATTGTCCAGCTGCATGTCCTCTGGTTGAGTGGACAATAAATCACAGGGCCTTCACACTTCTCGGCATCAATGGAGTTGGTGTACTGTTAGGTGTTGTCATTTTGGGGATCAGCATTGGTTTTGCTATTGGTTTTGCTATTGGTTGGATCTGGGGAAGGGACCGATGCGCCTCGAGTAAAAATTTCGAAGTATCTTCTTTTGTGTTTACCCCGTTGTGTGGAATAACGTCTATAATAATTGTCTTCCAGGGAAATCGCGTAATGTGGTAACTTGCAGTGATCAGTTGAGTGAACACTATCATAATATTTTCGAGAAAATATTCTATAAATTGGGACACGGTAATATCCGCTGATGGAATTGATAAAACTTGTCAAGTTCAAGGGGCATTAATTCCAATCGTTGGCATTTTATTTCTTTCCTCATTTCTAGATTTTGCAGAACACCCCATCCTGACTTTATCTCTGCTCTCTTACGTGATTATTGGAGTTTCCTGGGGCGCAGTGAATCTGAAGGTTACAGTGGATCCTATCGAGATATGGGCTTCACCTCAAAGCAGATCGCGTATCGAAAAAGAATACTTCGATAGCCATTTTACCCCTTTCTACAGGACTGAGCAGATTTACATTAAAGCTGTTAATCTCGAGAAGGTAATGAAATGGGATGCTTAAATTAGTTAATTAATTCAATAAATTATCTCTATTATTCCTTCTATTATTTCTCCTTTTGGGGAGATTATTATACGTTCTGAACATCACAAGTTATTGAAGTGGGGATCTCGATATGTATCCCCTATATCCCATGTGTGCAAATACTGATAATTGATGTGATAAAGTTCTTTGTTTACGGTTCGCTAGACGTGTAAAAGCCTAAACTGATGTAATCGAAAAAATGCTCCAGTGTATACAATTTTTGAGATACTTTTTTCCATCAAGAGGTTTGTTATTAATTTTTTGAGCCATGACTAATTCCATTTTGATGACAATTTTTTAAGTGATCGTTGAAAAATCGATTTTTGAAAAAATATCAATGTTTTCTAATCTGTATGAAAAATTACATTTTAATTGGTGTCAATGAATAGAGCTTATTAAAGTCTATATTTATGAAAACATTAATTAAATTCGATTGATCCCTTATAGGACATTTTTGAGAAAAAAGTAAAGAAAAAAGACCACATATATACAGACACCACCTAAAAATTGCATATTCCGACTTTTTAGACCATACTTAGTTACCTTAACAGGAAAAATTGGAAATTTAAATTTGAGCGATTACAAAACTTTCATTTAGAAGCGGAAAAAAAATTCACTTATTTTGGAATCACTTACCAAAAGAGCGCCCCATAATTGTTTTTCTGCACATTTTGCGGAAAGTTTTCAGAAAAAAAAGTTGTCCACCTCGAAAATTAAGTAATTAGAACATTCAATTATTACTTAAGTCTATATAGTTGACAAGGGATTATGACAGTAACCATAAACGCAGTGGAGTATTTGGGACTCGGTTTATGGTGAGGATGAACTGTTTATGATAGAAAAGTTTTGACGATTAAGTTTTAATTTTTTGTGTGTGAGAGAGAGAGAGGAATTTGGATAAATTGTAAGAAATGCTTCTTGGGAATTTTTCTTGTCTTGACGGAGACATAGTGGCGACACGGTCACCATAGTTAGGAGGAAGGCGTCCAGAATTTCTGACAGTACGTGTTATGAATATAGTAAATATGTTGACATAGGGGGGGGGGGGTTAAAATCATAAGAAGGAGGGGTTAAAATCATCCAAAAATTAGCTTCCGTACACTGAGAGAAAAACAAACACGGTGTCAAACAAGTCTTGTTTGGGCCAACAAAATCGCTAGTTGAAAATTATCAAAAAAGAATTTGTTTGGTTTGAATTTGAAAGTCTCAAACATGAATAATTGTTCTGCTTTCGACACCAACGAAATATTTGGCTCAAGAGACGGATAATTCACACCAGACGGTGCCTTATCAGGATGAAAATATCTCATATACAGGAAAATTTATCAACAAATATTTTATCCCTAAGTTACAAGATTGCTACCATATCATTATTATTGTTTCACTTAAGGGTTCATTTCTTGTCTGTGATTATTAGACAGACGAAACGAAAAAACCACTATCCCTTATTTTGCATAAAACAAAGATTTTGATGACATTTCTTGCGTGTACACAGAATGCAATTTTTGTTGAACTACTAAATCTATTTTTGTGACAAAAATTTTTCATCCAGGTGCACTCTCCGCATGTTTGGCACAAAAAATCCTTTTTTGATAATTTTCAAAAAACTATTTTCTTGGCACAAGTAAGACTTGTTTGAGAACTTCGTTGTTTTTCTCTCAGTGTAATACTTCAACGATCCCTAAACTGACCTGTCTTTCGATCATATTATATAGCCTTTTGTAGGGTTAAAGAACAATAAGTAATAAGATTCTTCAGACTAGTTATCAGTTTTGCATACATAAAATATGAGAGAAAAATGGAATCCTTACTTCAATAACTCGTAATGTTTAAACCCACAGTAAAAACCCAACGTCCCTTAATCAGTACAAATTCATGTAGATGACAAGGGAAACGTCGGATGGAGTCCAAGAGTTTGGTCCAATATTCCAAAGAGAATTCATGTTGGCCGTGTACGATTTGCAACAGAAAATTCAACAGGTGGGAAAAGGCTTCCTAGTTACTCACATTACCATGCATTGACCCAAAAACTAGGAAATAGACAATGAATAAATCAAGTGAGACGTATCACGTAGAAACAAATTTACAAGAAAATCCTAGCGCTTTCCGTTAGAATTCTGCTGCGAATTCCGCACGTTCCGCTCGCGTTTTCTAAAATAGAAATAATTAATTAAGAGTGTTTAACAGAAGCAAATGGCAAAGAACAATGGACGGAGAAATTTTTTTCAGAAAAATTCTAGTGCTAGCACGGGAAAAGAGGCACAACGTGATGGCCAGGAAAATATTCCAGTGCCGGCACTAGAAATTTTAGTGGAGAAAACGTGAATTTTTCCCCTATTTCTGTGACAATTTCACAGAAATCGCCAGAAATTTTACTAGAAATACCAAGAAATTTTACCTTAACAGCACTAGAATTTTTCACAGCCGGTGGATTGTGATTTTTTCCAGTACTCGTACTAGAATTGTTCTAGAAAATTTCTCTCCGTGTAGATTCAGAATCCGTGACTAGGAATTCCTACGAAAAAGTGTCAACAGAATAAGTCGTGAAAGTGCCATTAGAATCTGTCGATATTATTTCTGTTTAATATTCTCATTAAAGAATCGTGATGAAAAGCTGCGGAATTCCCAATAGAATTTCCTGGCGCATGCGTTAGAAGTGTCTCCAGTTTTTTTTATATCTGTCATTTTTTCTACTGAACTAATAGTTTGATGGATTGTGGAATCGTTAGATTGGTAGAGATACACACGAAGGATTGGAAAAAATTTGTTATGCCCCTGTGCAAAATGAATTCATGGGACCAATGACGGTAGATCGTTGCACAGTGCAGAGTCTCTGGGGATATTTCCAAAATGACTTGGAAAAATTCAATAATACCAATTACCTGGATCACTTATACATGTGTTTGCAGTACGTGAACAGCAACAATAAATTATATTTTAATCTCTTGGCGCATGAATGATTGATCCGATCTATGTTCCATAGAAACGCATTCCTTCCAGAATGTCTAGGTCCTTACAAGGGCCCAGTTATACCGGACATAGCAATAGGTGGATACTTGGTGGAGGGCAAAACAACTTACGAGGCCTCAGACTACATAAAAGCAACAGCGGTAGTTCTGTCATTCATGGTGAAGAATAAATCAGATAAAGATGAGTTGGAACCCATGCGAAAATGGGAGAGTCGATATTTGGATTTTATGAGGCATTGGGTAGAGCATGAAAAACCGGATTTCATGGATATCGCCTATTCATCGGAGAGATCTATTGAAGATGAATTGGAACGCACTTCAATTGCCGAATCGAAAACTATTATCATTAGCTACATCGTGATGTTTGTTTACATCGTTTTCTCATTGGGTACATTCAGGGCATCTGCGGAGACATTTGTATGTATTTTTTAAAATTCAATTGAAATTTTTCACGATGAATTGGGATGAAGCTGAAATTAGCGGAATATTCGTCAGCGGAAAATTCAACTTAGGGGATATTTAAGTGTAGGAGAGTCAAATAATCATATGTACAAATCACCCGAGTCAAAATTTTACCGGGGTTTTTGAACGTGGTCGCCGGGTAGGTTTAGGACGTTGAAATCACGTTGACCAGTGTACGGGGCTAAATGAACCGATCAACGTACTCTCCACGTAGATATCGTCTTTTATTTCCATTTTTTCCAGATTCTATGTCGAAAGTACGTCGAAACTGAACGTACTTTCATCGTTCCTTGAACATACATCTTCTCCCTTCCTCCGTCCCCTCGTCCCCAAAATCAATTGATTGCTTCAATGCGTGCCCAGATCAATTGTTGGATCGATGAAACCAATATTGATAGAATATACTCGGCGGGACGAATATGGGAAAAAAAGAAAAAAACATATCGGACCATTTGTTCTCGAGAATATTTCTTCTCTCGAGTTCCGGGCGGTGTTCCCTATCGGTCACCCATCCTGTTTCTACCCTGGCTCGGCGTGGCGTAGGATTAGTAATCTGTAGGACCCGGGTTCGAAACCAGTCATGGGTGGAATATTTTAGGTTTAAAAAAATCGGTTTCTCAACGATAAATACGTTAGGGAGTCAAGAGTGATAAATAACAGATGATCAATTTTGATAGCATATAACTATTTTCTTTTTTTTTATATTATTAAGAATGATCGTGGATAGTCGAATCATCCATGTGTACATATATATGAAATTATTGAACCGATGTCATTTTAGTACATTAGAGTACAAGGGCACAAATTTCGTTTTCGACGAATGTGAAGTTTATGCCAAAGTGGTCTATACTATTTTATGCCACATCGTGCAGAAGTCGAGTTTGAAGCACGCTGCGCGAACCGCAGCGTGCGATAAACTCAACTTATTGCACGGCGTGCCATAAAAAAATTTTCGAAACAATTTTGAGAGTGGCGATTGAATGAGCAATAATTGATGATAAATTACCAACAAGATAAATAATAATTTTAAGTGGCCCCACGTACTCTCAACGTAATAGACATCGAAAGCACGTTGAATACATGACCGGGGATTGAAGAATTTTTGACGTCCATGGGCCATTACGTTGACGTAGGTTGATAATACGCTGAAGATCCCGCGGAAAAATTGAGCATCAAAGAAAAGTAGGTTTAGAACGTTGAGACTACGCTGGGGGACCCCGTAAAATTTTGACTCGGGCAGTAGTGAAGTGGTAAACGGCGATAAGTCAACTCATCTCCCAGTTGTTTTTTTGAGAAATAGTTCCGAATCTAAGGGAGATAGCGAAATTTTCGTAATTGCATTTGTTATAGCACTCAATCGGCTCCACAAAAAAGGTTATAACAAAAATTTTGCTATCTTCCTCAGATTCCGAGATATTGATTGAAAACTGGCCAATAGTCAAAATTGACTTATCTCCTTTTACCACTTCGCTAGTGAAATGTTTTTCAATTGCGAAAAAGTTTGTACATTACTTAAAAACATTTGTACATCCCTAGATTCGCCTAAGACGAATCTGCTGTCGAATTTTCGCTAGTTTCAGCTTCATTGAATTCGGATCTTCAAGGTATCCTTCAGTGCTTATAATGCGTTGTTTAAATGATGAAGAAATTTTTCAATAGATTGTCAGTAAAGCAATGTTGAGCATCAGCGGAATAATCACCGTTTTAGCGTCGGTGACTTGCACGTTCGGAGTCTTTGGGTACACCCGGACATCTACGACTCTTTTGACTATTGAGGTAATATTAAGGACCTACGGTTCAATCTCCGTACAAAATATCACAGGGACTGTAGGGAAATGAAATTTCGAGAATTACGTATCCCCCACTTTACTTACACTCAGAGGGGAAAGTATTTTGATTTGATATTCTGCGTACAAGATACCAGACGATTCCCATTTTTCATGATCATTTGAGTACCATTCCTGGTGTGAAACACGAATGTTTGATTAGAAGGTATTGTTCCTTTTCAAAATAACAATTTAGAAACTCGGAATAAGATAGTTTATTAATAGTGGCCTACGAGGCAAAATTGAGACTCATTAGGATTTTGGTTTTCGTAAAAATTGAGTTGAATTTTGTTTTGTTTTGTCTATCTATCCATTCAAAAAATGAACGTAAAATACATGGTGCAATACGTGTAAAAAAATAGATAGTTTGCCAAGTTTTATGACCGATGCGTTTAATTTTTTTTATGAACTGTAGCGAGTGCCCGTTTGGTTTGAAATTCAATTGATGTACAATTAAGTTCTAGATCATAGATCCATATATTTCCAGTAATTTCTGCAATATCTCAGCTCTAGTCCCCCTCAATTCGAGCCCCTTTGTCGTGTATCTTGTGCGGAGACTGGACGATATATTAAAATTCACATACACTCAAGAATTTTATTTTTTGCTTCTGAATGGAAGAATTGTATTCGTTGAATCCGAAATTTCCAATTTTTTGTGTCAGGATAATTAATTTTGACCTGAGGAGTTCGACTATGCTATTTTCAGGCCATATCCGGATGTATGTATGTATGTCTATGTGTGTATGTGACCGATCATTTTTCGATGGTAACTGAAAAAATTATTGTTTACATGAATCCAATTGGGATTTAAAATATTCTTCCCAACGCCATCTTGACCGAGTTCGATCATGAGATTGATTTCGTCATCTGTTGTTGAAAAAACATTCGGATGCAAATTGCTAATTTATTAGTAAAAATATATTGACTGTTGTGACGCAGCAATTTCTCACGTATTTTCAACTATTAACGGAAATTTAAATTCACCAACCAGAGTTCATTCTTCTCAAAAAAAATAGAATAGATAATATGCACCGAATGCAGGCGTTAGTGTGTGGTTATTTGGGTCTTAAAGTCTTGAATGTCTGCATTATTTGCCTGGGTATTTCCATTAGATTCGTAGCTATGCATCAAAAAGGTCAATCCTAAATTCATTAATGTTGATTTCCCATAATTTTCCCCAGGTCATTCCTTTCCTCGTTCTAGCTGTCGGAGTTGACAACATTTTTATCCTCGTCCAAACACATCAAAGGAATCCCCCAAGACCTGGAGAGAGTATCCCACATCATATGGGTAGAATACTGGGCTTAGTGGGACCGTCCATGTTCCTTACGAGTGTCTCAGAGTCACTCTGTTTCTCCATTGGAACTATCTCATCCATGCCTGCTGTTAAAACATTCGCACTGTTTGCATCAGTCGCTATTGCGTTCAATTTCTTCCTGCAAATTACTGGATTCGTCAGTCTTCTGGCCCTGGACACGAGAAGATATGAGGTAATCTGTTCTTCAGAATTAGATATAGACAGAGACATTTCCGGTAGCTAATCTCCCCAGTAATAGAAGAGGTCCCTTGATTTCATTCTTCCAGAAGTGATCGTTCAGAAGATGAATGCATGATAATGCATTTACCGAGAGTATAAGTTTTTAGTTCTCAGTAAATATCTCTGAATTTCAGAAATCTATGGTACTAAAATGTAAGGAACAAAACGTCCTGGATTTATTTGACCTTTTCATTTATTCGAATAGTAAGAGAACGTTCTCTAAAAACCAGGAAAAAAGTTCTAATTCTTAATCATTTTTATCGAATGATCCAGCGAGGTAGAGGGAATTGAACAAATGTAGCCTTTTTTTGAAAATTTTTTAAAACATCAATGAATCCGTCGAGAAACCATGTGCAAAATCAATGCCAGAATCAGGACAACAACAAAAATAAATTCTCAAGTTTCTGTTCATACATGAAATTCAATGGGGCATCGCTAATTTTAGAATTTCTTCTACATTGTTGGCTAGTTGATAATCTACACTCATAGAAAAGGTGGAAGGATTTAGTTGCTGTTAACGAGGCTTCTTAATTATTACCACGATTTATTAATTATTAACGTGGTTTTGTAATTATTACTGATGATTAAGTTATAGTTAAGAAGCCTCGTTAACAGTTAACGAATATTACTGAATACAGTTAACGAATGTCATTCGTTAATAGTTAATAGTTAACGAATTGTGGTGATCGTTAAGACGCCTTGTTAACAGCAACTACAGTAGAGGTTTCGTATAAGCTACCTTAGGGACAGTAGGAGAGTGGAATTCCAGGAACCCCTCATAGAGAAGTAAAAAATAGTGATCAGCAGGTTTCAAACAAGATACCTTTCATTTTTACTGAATGAATATCGATAACTAATCAATTTATATGTGTTTAATGTTTTGAATTAGTATCGCTCGCGTTCCCTTCTCTCTTAAGTCAGAGGGGATCGTATAAGTGAGCTCGAATAAAAAATTTGGGTTTCACTTTCATCGATGATTTCAAATTATTTCTGAAATCACCTGATTTCTTTGCGATTTCTAATGATTTTTGATGATTTCCCAGTCATTAGAAATCACTACCGGAAATGGAAATCACTTGATTTCCAGTGATTTCTCGTGATTTCTTCCTTGATTTCCAATCGAGTGGTCCAGAAATTTCCTAAGTGACCAGTCCCTCGCCCCGCGTGATAAAATGTCTGCTGATGTTGGTGGACTCGAGAATAATCACAGACGAAAAATAACGATTTGTCGATGGGAAAAGTGAAAAAAAAATCGATGTATATTTCCATTACTTGAAAAAAGTGGTGTGACCCCCCCTTAAGGTCATTAGACCCTCATGATCACTCCGTTCGTTCCTCCCGTTTGACCCTTAACACCGTTTGATCCCTATAACTACTCTCTTCCCGCTGAAAAATGACTGGGGCCATAGGTATCTTATAAAAAGCCCACGGAACATAAACATTTGGGAGGCGATAAAAGTGCCAAGAGTGGGGGTAGGCCTCGAGCGCTCGAACCGCGAGGTATCTTATAGAGAGGTATCTTATACGAAGCCTCTACTGTAAATCCTTCTATCGGCGTAGGGAAAATCCAAAAGTGATCGAACCCTATGGCAATCTCACACGGAAATCCCCCATAAAAACCCTACGGTGAGGGCTCATGGCAACGCTATGGCAATGCCATGGGCTTTTTCGTACGTGTATATAATTTCGTGAAAGCATTCCTTACTTGATTAAAAAAATTAATTAACAAATAATTTCTTATTTGATTCAAACAGTTATTGTTGCCTGCATCAACAACACATGAGCATAGAAAAACTCAATAATTTGTGAGACTGCAATAAATTCAATTATTCAGAATTTATTCCGGAAATCCATCGGGACTAACTTTTGGGTCCGATTGTCTTGGGATATACCTTAATAGGTTCACTAATGTATTGAAACATTATAAAAAAAGACTACATTTGTTGAATTCTCTCTACCTCGCGGGCTCATCCTTAAATCTAATACCATGGTTCTGAAAACTGAAACCTTTTTTTCTCCGTTTCATTGATTTATCTCCGAATCATTTGCATGTGTCATATCTCTTCCGTAGGATCGGCGTGTGGATCTCTTATGCTGCCTGCGATTGAATATCAGTAGCATTAAATCAGGCCCAGGGATTATGCAAAAATTCTTCGCCAAGTACTACACACCTATGCTAATGAATAAATTCGTTGGAATCGGAGTACTGGTCTTTTTCGTTGCACTAGTGACGACGAATGTTGTTGCTGGAGCACAACTCGAAATCGGTTTGGATCAGAAATACTCGATGCCTGAAGATTCATACGTTCTCAAATACTTTGAAGTATGAACGTGTCGGTTTAAATTCAATAGGCAAGTGGTAAACCGTAGGGAATCGGTTCCTATTTTCGAAGCGAGGTAGCCTACGCTCAAACGTCGAAGGAGCTTTTATGTAGCTGGGAAAATTCCCAATAAGAAATATTTTTTGTCATTTCGCCTTCAAATCGCCACGTACGATAAAACTTTATAAATTACAATTTATTGGTTTTTTATTGAATTCCTATTGGAAACTCTACGAGTTTTTCGTCGATACTTTGCACGTTTTAAATAGAAAATTTGATCTTCCTATTCTACGTTTTTATTGATAAATTTTCTATACAAATTCTTCGACATGAATTTTTGGTTTTTTCACTCTTTTCTCCGTCTTAAAAGAAAACTAAAGAAAAAACTAAAAAAAATTGGGTTGCGAAATTACTATAAGAAAGGGTGGGGTAAAACGGCCCATTTCAACTTTTCTGTGATTCTCATAACTCAGAAACGAATTCATTAATTGAGATCAGTCTAGGCTCATTCTAATGGGGAAGAAGTGTAGTTTCCATGGGAAAAAAATTATTTTATTTTATTTAATATTGAATGAGCTGTTAACATTTTTGGAAAAAACAAAAGGGGTCGTTTAACCCCACTCTCCCCTAGAAAATATCTCAATAGAATGAATCGCACAGAAAGATCAAATGCTATTTCAATGATCAAGTGCTAAAATATTGTCTATCGGACATTTCTATTAAAAAAAAAAAATAGAAATTGGCGACAAACCGATAAAATTTTTAATGGAGGTTCAATAGAAATCCAATTATTTAGAAGTTCTTGGCCCCTGCGATGTTGAACTGATTTGAAAAAGATAGAAAAATATTTTTTTGAAGTTTTCAAATGATAAAAAATCAAGTCATTTTGACTAGGCCCAATAATTCGACACCCTCTGCGGGCTCCACTTCAGGGGCCTCATTTATTAAATTTCAAACAGGCAAGATATAATAAATGTTTAATAAAATGTGAAAAATTAATAAATGATGCCTCTGAAGAGGACTCCGCAAAGGGGGTCAAAATATTGGGCCTAGTCCAATTGACTTGATCTTGCATCATTTGGACATTTAAAAAAAATTATTGATCTTTTTCAAATCAACTAAAGACCGCAGAGACAAGAACTTCAAAAACTTGGTCATTCGGTCGAAACTTCTCCACAACATAGAAATCCAATAGAATTTTCTGGTAAATTCACTACACTGAGAGAAAAACAAACACGTTGCCAAACAAGTCTTGTTTGGGCCAACAAAATGGCTAGTTGAAAATTGCCAAAAAAAAATTTGTTTGGTTCGAATTTGAAAGTCTTAAACATGAATAATTGTTCTGCTTTCGACAGCAACGAAATATTTTGCTCAAGAGGCGGATAATTCACACCAGACAGTGCCTTTTCAGGATGAAAATACCTCATATAGAGCAAAATTTATCAACAAATGTTTTATCCCTAAGTTACAAGATTCCTATCATATCATTATTATTGTTTCATTTAAGGGTTCATTTCTTGTCTGCGATTATTAGACAGCCGAAACGAAAAACTTCTATCCTTGTTTCGCATAAAACAACGATTTTTCGGGAGCAAAATACGTATGGGAGTATCGAATAACGAAGGAGTAGTGCTAGAAATGACATTTCTTGCCTGTACAGAGAATGCAATTTCTGTTGAACTATTAAATCTATTTTTGCGACAAAAATGTTCCATTCCGGCGCACTCTCTCCATGTTTAGCACAAAAAAATCCATTCTTGATCATTTTCAAAAAACTATTTTCTTGGCACAAAGGACTTGTTTGAGAACTTTATCGTTTTTCTCTTAGTGTAGGTTGTTCTACGATTTAGTTTGTACGTGGTCTTATTAAAATCATTTCATATGTCACGGCTAATTCTCATCAAGAAGTGAGAATTCGACCTGTTACGTTTTGCCACTTGACTTAGGTATTAGTGATCAATAACCACAAGAATAAATTAATTGATTGACTCTGCGATGCGTTTCCAAACAGTTCATGGAGGAACTGCTGTCAATGGGGCCGCCAGTGTACTTCGTTCTCAAAGGTGGCCTTAACTACAGTAAACCTGAGGTTCAGAATGCTATATGTGGAGCGCAGAGATGCAACTCTGATTCCCTATATGCCCAGATATTCTCGGCATCTAAACAATCCTCAATGTAATGACTACACAAATACGTTTGAGACAGAATTTCCCTGGCGAACATCTTATGAAATGACTTTTTACAGTACTTATCTAGCAAAGCCAGCATCTTCCTGGATCGACGACTATTTTGATTGGACTGTAATCGATGGCTGCTGCAAGTATTTCCCGAGCAATTCATCTTTTTGCCCTCACAATCATTGGACGGATGATGAAGGTATCTTGAATCAATTTTCAATGTCACACAACTAGGGGGAGAACTAGGGGGACTCTAGTTGTGATGCTTGTGACCCAAGGGGCGAGGAGGTTGTTTACACTGAGAGAAAAATTTCTTAACACGTAGAATAAAACACATTTACTTGAGACAAGTAAATTGAGACATTGAAGATAATTATCTTCAATGTCTCAAATCGCGGAGTGATTTCGCTTTATGGAACTCGAATAAATGTTCATTTTTCACTTTCGTTCCAGCTTACATGAATATATTACGTATCGAAACATTGCAAGGGCATGAAAGGAATCATGAAAACAGGTGAGCGATTTTGCTCATTTTATGTCGACATAAAATCGTAAATTTCAACCAATCCTATTAGTTGAGTATTCCGAATCCAGGATTGTCATTGGTTGAAATTTACGATTTTATGTCGACATAAAACGAGCAAAATCGCTCCCCAGTAAATACTCAAAGATTCACAGTTCTTTTACGCGAATTCTTACATGCGTTTAATTGACGAAATCGTTAAGGGTATTATGACGGGGTCCATAACTGGAAAAAAAAGCAGAAAATTCAATGAAAATTGCTGAACAGATTATTCGATCCATTTGAAAGCCGTGTGCAAAATGTCAAGGCTCCTACTTAAACAATAATAATGGAAATAATTTTTGAAGTTGTTACTTATACACGCAGTTGAATGGGGCATCGGTAATTTTTGTGAATTATCGATTTGTTATCGATAGATCAATAACGTAGGAAAGGCACTAAAATTACCGATGCCCCATTCAACCGCGTGTATAAGTAGCAACTTCAAAAATTATTCCCATTATTATTGTTTAAGTAGGGGTCTTGACATTTTGCACACGGCTTTCAAATGGATCGAATAATCTGTTCAGCAATTTTCATTGAATTTTCTGCTTTTTTTTCCAGTTATGGACCCCGTCATAATACCCTTAACNCATTTTGCTCTTGTCCCCTTTTTTTTACAAAAAAACAAAGGTTTGACCAGTTCTTCAGACTATCCCAAAGATTCACGAGGGGTTATTTTGGAATGTTGTAATGGCAACAATTTAACCCGTCAGTAGGTGCACTATGAGCATTTCTCTCACGCAACGCTAGTCAAACTGCAAGACGTCTCTGCAGTACGAATGAGATACTAAAAAGAGCCCACCTACACTGAAAGAAAAATGATAAGGTTCGCAAACAAGTCTTACTTGTGCCAAGAAAATAGTTTTTTGAAAATTATCAAAAAAGGATTTTTTTGTGCTAAACTTGGAGAGAGTGCGCCGGAATGAAAAATTTTTGTCGCAAAAATAGATTTAGTAGTTGAAAAACAATTGCATTTTCTGTAAACGCAAGGAATGTAATTTCTAGCACTACTCCTTCGTTATTCGATACTCCTATACGTATTTTGNCAATTGCATTTTCTGTATACGCAAGGAATGTAATTTCTAGCACTACTCCTTCGTTATTCGATACTCCTATACGTATTTTGCTCCCGAAAAATCTTTGTTTTATACCTAACAAGGGATAGTAGTTTTTCGTTTCGGCTGTCTAATAATCACTGCCAAGAAATGAACCCTTAAATGGAACAATAATAATGATATGATAGCAATCTTGTAATTTAGGGATAAAATATTTATTGATAAATTTGCCTTTATATGAGATATTTTCATCCTGAAAAGGCACCGTCTGGTGTGAATTATCCGCCTCTTGAGCCGAATGTTTCCTTGCTGTTGAAAGCAGAGCAATTATTCATGTTTGAGACTTTCGAATTCGAACCAAACAAATTCTTTTTTAGCAATTTTCAATTAGCGATTTTGTTGGCCCAAATAAGACTGACAACGTGTTTGTTTTTCTCTCAGTGTACTGACGAGTTAATAAGTTACGAAATGTTCACCTAATCATTTGCCTACATTTTTTTATTCTTATTTTTCAACTTCCCTTTTATGGAGAAACTAAAGAATTCGCCATAACAGGAGGTGGTCGCGGATTTAATTTGACGGAATATTTGATTGGCCTCTTGATTAAGAACTGGGGAAGCGAGATTAAAGTAGTATAAACATAACTTTAATTTTGAAGATTGAAATCTGAAATAAATTCTAAACGAAAGTTAATGTTAATAGAACCATTCTGGTTGACTTTGTGCTCAATTGGCAATCCAGTAGTATTGATAATAATTAATTTAGAAATGTAAAAATAATGCAGTTTTATCAGGAAACGAACTTTTCGAAGTTGCAAAAAAGATTAAAATCTAGAAAAAATCAGAAAAAATAAATAAAAATTGTATATTCAATATGAAAATTATGGTCAGTGTCTAATTTTTGTAATAAATAATTTGCTCGAAATGGCGTATTGTGTTAAAACTTCCTAGTTAAACGGAAGACTATTGTTTAAAAATATCACTAACGAAAGAATTCGATAGATAAATTTCATGAGAAAAATGATCAATGATGAATAATTTTTTTTTTTAGCTTTTTGAATATATTTTCTGTCGTTACACTCAATGACTCAACTGGAGTTCATTCATAATAATTTAACTCTACTATGCTATTTTTGCACTTCTAGATTGATTATTATCAATAATACTAGACTGTCGACTGAGCACAAACTCAACCAGAGTATCTTATTGATATTAACTTTTGAATTTATTTCAGTAGCGAAATGGTGAAACTGTTTAAGTCGACTTATCTTCCAGTTGAGTTTTTGAAGAATATTTCCGAATCTAAGAGAGATAGCGAAATTTTCGTAATTACATTTGTTGTAGCTCTTAATCGGCTATACAAAAAAGGTTGTAACAAAAATTTGGCTATCTTCCTTAGATTCCGAGATATTGATTGAAAACTGGCCAATAGTCAACATTGACTTGTCCCGTTTTACCACTTCGCTACTGATTTCAATTTAGAAGTTATTGCAGATTTAAATCTTCAAAATTGAAGTGATTTTCAAACTTCTTTAAAGTATAGCAGTTTGAGGAATCAAAATTGACTTGAATTTGCTGTTCCAGAGATGTCCTGCGAGAGATGCCCTATGAAGAAGGATAAATTTGGATTGAGACCACAGGCATCAGACTTTCGTAGATACCTCAGTTATTTCTTAACTGATGTACCTGACGAGACATGTGCGAAGGGAGGTAGGGCGGCTTATTTCGACGTAAGTTATGACACCTGGAGGAGAGTGAACACAAACTGTAAAAAAATCATGAAAAATCTCACTCTAATTATTATATACAGGCAATGATGTATACATACGATCGATATGGAATGATTGATGTTGGAGATTCCTACTTCATGAGTTACCACACACCTCTGAAGAAACAATCGGACTGGTACAGAGCCCTTTCCTCAGCTCGAGTGGTTGCTGATAATATAACCGCTATGATTAATAACCACAAATTCACTGATACTCACATCAGTGTTTTTCCTTACAGGTAAAATAGACAATGAACCAGAGGAATGGGGAGTGAAACGAACTATTTTGAATTTTTCAAACCAAAAATAATTTGTTCGATTGTTGATCACATTAAATTTTCTTTTTCAGGTCCGGGTGGATTATCTCTCGAACGTTATCTCGATTGTTTTTCCGTTTTCATAATGTAAAATATATCACAATTTCTATTGGATTTTACATCACGCAGGAGACTCTAAAAATTATGATTGTACAATCAAAAAAAGTAGAAAAAAAATTGAACATTTTCAAAGAACGTTTTTAATAGAGATTAAAAAATAAGTCCGATAGAGAGGAAATAGTGAATGGATAATTTATCATGGTAACTAACGATCTGACAGCGATTGACTATTGTGACAAATGACGACCTAACAGTCATTAAATACAATCAAATTATTACATTGCAATTTCCTCCCTATTGGGTTCATTTTCCAATATTATTCTAAAGTGCTCTTTAAAAATGTTCAGCTTTTTTCAACGTTTTTTTCATTGTATAATTATAATTTTTGGAGACTCCAGGGCTATGTAAAATTGAATCGCAATTGGAGATTATTTCAGATTATCAAAATAAAAAAAACAGCCAAGATCACGTTCGAAAGGTAATCCACCCGGACCTTCACTTATCCTTTATAATGAGTAGACTCAGTTCAATTCATAAATTAGTTTTTGTTATGGATATTTGAATAAAGTAGTTTACATTTCACATATTTCACCCCTAATTTCATTAATTCTGCCATTACTAAAGGAATTAATTCAGTCGTGAAGCGGTAAAACGGTTTAAGTCGATTTAAGCCTCAGCCGAGGAATATTTCTGAATCTAAGGGAGATAACGAAATTTTCGTAATTACCTTTTTTATAGAACGAATCGAGAGTTACAAAAAAGGTCTTAATAAAAATCTAAAAATATCGCAAAATCTCCTTTAGATTTCGAGATATTCATTGAAAACTGCCCAATACTCAAAATCGACTTACCGTGCTACCGCTTCGCTACTGAATTAAGACTGCAGGTGTTAATTCTGTGCGATATATTCATTTTCAGCATTTTTTACGTCTTTTACGAACAGTATTTGACGATTTGGAAGGAAACAATGATATCATTGGCACTGTCTCTTGGTATTGTCTCCATTGTTACTTACGTTTTAACTGGATTTTCCCTTTTCTCTGCTGGAATGGTATTGATCACTGTGACTATGATAATCATCAACATGTTTGGACTCATGTACTGGTGGAATGTCAGTCTCAATGCTGTCTCACTTGTTAATTTAGTTATGGTAAAGCAGTCTATATTTTTTACTTTTTTTCCTTAAACAATGAACTTTTAATAATTTTTTTCGGTTGATATTCTAGGCTGTGGGGATCTCGGTGGAGTTTTGTAGTCATCTTCTGCACTCTTATCTGAGTTCAAAGAAAAAATTTAGTCTGGACAGGGCATCTGATGCATTATCTGTGATAGGAAGCTCTGTGAGTGGTTATATTTTGATACTTTCCCATTGATCTTTGGAATCTTGATATATTTCTTCTCCTCGTTTCAGGTATTCTCAGGTATCACTTTGACGAAGCTGGTGGGAATTATCATACTGGCATTTGCAAAAACAAAAATATTTCAGATATTTTACTTCAGGATGTACCTGGGTATTTTGATCATGGGAGCAACTCATGGTCTAATATTCTTACCTGTTNATTGATAAATTTGCCTTTATATGAGATATTTTCATCCTGAAAAGGCACCGTCTGGTGTGAATTATCCGCCTCTTGAGCCGAATGTTTCCTTGCTGTTGAAAGCAGAGCAATTATTCATGTTTGAGACTTTCGAATTCGAACCAAACAAATTCTTTTTTAGCAATTTTCAATTAGCGATTTTGTTGGCCCAAATAAGACTGACAACGTGTTTGTTTTTCTCTCAGTGTACTGACGAGTTAATAAGTTACGAAATGTTCACCTAATCATTTGCCTACATTTTTTTATTCTTATTTTTCAACTTCCCTTTTATGGAGAAACTAAAGAATTCGCCATAACAGGAGGTGGTCGCGGATTTAATTTGACGGAATATTTGATTGGCCTCTTGATTAAGAACTGGGGAAGNACTCTAAAAATTATGATTGTACAATCAAAAAAAGTAGAAAAAAAATTGAACATTTTCAAAGAACGTTTTTAATAGAGATTAAAAAATAAGTCCGATAGAGAGGAAATAGTGAATGGATAATTTATCATGGTAACTAACGATCTGACAGCGATTGACTATTGTGACAAATGACGACCTAACAGTCATTAAATACAATCAAATTATTACATTGCAATTTCCTCCCTATTGGGTTCATTTTCCAATATTATTCTAAAGTGCTCTTTAAAAATGTTCAGCTTTTTTCAACGTTTTTTTCATTGTATAATTATAATTTTTGGAGACTCCAGGGCTATGTAAAATTGAATCGCAATTGGAGATTATTTCAGATTATCAAAATAAAAAAAACAGCCAAGATCACGTTCGAAAGGTAATCCACCCGGACCTTCACTTATCCTTTATAATGAGTAGACTCAGTTCAATTCATAAATTAGTTTTTGTTATGGATATTTGAATAAAGTAGTTTACATTTCACATATTTCACCCCTAATTTCATTAATTCTGCCATTACTAAAGGAATTAATTCAGTCGTGAAGCGGTAAAACGGTTTAAGTCGATTTAAGCCTCAGCCGAGGAATATTTCTGAATCTAAGGGAGATAACGAAATTTTCGTAATTACCTTTTTTATAGAACGAATCGAGAGTTACAAAAAAGGTCTTAATAAAAATCTAAAAATATCGCAAAATCTCCTTTAGATTTCGAGATATTCATTGAAAACTGCCCAATACTCAAAATCGACTTACCGTGCTACCGCTTCGCTACTGAATTAAGACTGCAGGTGTTAATTCTGTGCGATATATTCATTTTCAGCATTTTTTACGTCTTTTACGAACAGTATTTGACGATTTGGAAGGAAACAATGATATCATTGGCACTGTCTCTTGGTATTGTCTCCATTGTTACTTACGTTTTAACTGGATTTTCCCTTTTCTCTGCTGGAATGGTATTGATCACTGTGACTATGATAATCATCAACATGTTTGGACTCATGTACTGGTGGAATGTCAGTCTCAATGCTGTCTCACTTGTTAATTTAGTTATGGTAAAGCAGTCTATATTTTTTACTTTTTTTCCTTAAACAATGAACTTTTAATAATTTTTTTCGGTTGATATTCTAGGCTGTGGGGATCTCGGTGGAGTTTTGTAGTCATCTTCTGCACTCTTATCTGAGTTCAAAGAAAAAATTTAGTCTGGACAGGGCATCTGATGCATTATCTGTGATAGGAAGCTCTGTGAGTGGTTATATTTTGATACTTTCCCATTGATCTTTGGAATCTTGATATATTTCTTCTCCTCGTTTCAGGTATTCTCAGGTATCACTTTGACGAAGCTGGTGGGAATTATCATACTGGCATTTGCAAAAACAAAAATATTTCAGATATTTTACTTCAGGATGTACCTGGGTATTTTGATCATGGGAGCAACTCATGGTCTAATATTCTTACCTGTTGCAATGAGATTCTTCGGTGAGCGAGCAAAATTTCCTGAGTATTATTTCTATTTCATGAATGCATTAATTAATTTTTTTTCGTTTCAGGCCCAGTGGGAATAGGAAATTCAAATCAGGAAAATGGAAGATCGAGTAAATTAGAGACACAATGTTAAATATTTTCCTAACTGAATTTAACATGTAAATAGTTTTCAAGGAATAAACAAGTTTTTCTTAAGGGATCGGATATTCAATTTTTCCAGACGTTTCAATAAATGATAAGAAAGACTTTGAGGACATGTAACGTTTATTAAATCGTACCTGCAGCCCACAAGACATGTCTGAATAAAATACTGTTTGTGAAATCAATTAAAAAAGATCGTATGACAAAACGAAAACTTGGAATGAAAATTACGAAGCTTTAAATCTATCAGTACTATCAATTTTCTTTCATAATTTCACCCGTGATATAATGATAATTTTAGAAGCCACCTCTGAGACGAAGAACCAAGTGGAGTGTAGATTCTTTCTGGATGTTGTAGTCGGACAAAGTTCTACCATCTTCCAGTTGTTTACCAGCAAAGATCAAACGCTGTTGATCTGGAGGAATGCCCTCCTTGTCCTGGATTTTGGCCTTGACGTTTTCAATTGTGTCAGAGGCCTCTACTTCGAGTGTGATGGTCTTGCCAGTTAGGGTTTTGACGAAAATCTGCATTCCTCCTCGAAGACGAAGAACAAGATGGAGAGTGGACTCTTTCTGGATATTGTAATCAGAGAGTGTTCTCCCATCCTCCAATTGTTTACCAGCGAAGATCAAACGCTGCTGGTCTGGGGGAATTCCCTCTTTGTCCTGGATCTTGGCTTTGACATTTTCAATAGTGTCAGAGGCCTCTACTTCCAGTGTGATGGTCTTCCCAGTCAATGTCTTTACAAAGATCTGCATGCCACCTCGAAGACGTAGGACCAAGTGCAGAGTGGATTCCTTCTGGATGTTGTAGTCTGAGAGAGTCCTGCCATCTTCCAATTGTTTACCAGCGAAGATGAGACGTTGTTGGTCTGGAGGAATTCCCTCTTTATCCTGGATCTTCGCCTTGACGTTTTCAATTGTGTCAGAGGCCTCTACTTCGAGTGTGATGGTCTTGCCAGTCAGAGTCTTGACAAAAATCTGCATTCCTCCTCGAAGACGAAGAACAAGATGGAGAGTGGACTCTTTCTGGATATTGTAATCAGAGAGTGTTCTCCCATCCTCCAACTGTTTACCAGCGAAGATCAAACGCTGCTGGTCTGGGGGAATGCCCTCCTTATCCTGGATCTTGGCCTTGACATTTTCGATGGTGTCAGAGGCTTCGACTTCTAGGGTGATCGTCTTTCCCGTGAGGGTCTTCACGAATATCTGCATTCCTCCTCTCAGACGCAGGACCAAGTGGAGTGTTGATTCTTTCTGGATGTTGTAGTCTGACAGAGTTCTGCCATCTTCCAGTTGTTTACCAGCGAAGATCAAACGCTGCTGGTCTGGGGGAATGCCCTCCTTGTCCTGGATCTTGGCCTTGACGTTCTCAATCGTGTCAGATGCCTCCACTTCAAGTGTGATAGTCTTACCAGTCAAAGTTTTCACGAAAATCTGCATTCCTCCTCGAAGACGAAGAACGAGATGGAGGGTGGACTCTTTTTGAATGTTGTAGTCTGAAAGAGTTCTTCCGTCCTCCAATTGTTTACCAGCGAAGATCAAACGCTGTTGATCTGGTGGGATACCTTCTTTATCTTGAATTTTAGCTTTAACATTTTCAATAGTGTCAGATGCTTCGACTTCCAGGGTGATGGTTTTGCCAGTCAATGTCTTAACAAAAATCTGCATTCCACCACGAAGACGTAGGACCAAGTGCAGAGTGGATTCCTTTTGAATGTTGTAGTCTGAGAGGGTTCGGCCATCTTCCAACTGCTTACCAGCGAAGATCAGACGTTGCTGGTCTGGAGGGATTCCCTCTTTGTCCTGGATCTTGGCTTTGACATTTTCAATTGTGTCAGAGGCCTCGACCTCCAGGGTGATGGTCTTTCCAGTCAACGTCTTCACGAAGATCTGCATGCCACCTCGAAGACGCAGGACAAGGTGAAGGGTGGACTCTTTCTGAATATTATAATCAGAAAGGGTTCTGCCATCCTCGAGCTGCTTACCAGCGAAGATCAGACGTTGCTGGTCTGGAGGGATTCCCTCTTTGTCCTGGATCTTGGCTTTGACATTTTCAATTGTGTCAGAGGCCTCGACCTCCAGGGTGATGGTCTTTCCAGTCAACGTCTTCACGAAGATCTGCATGCCACCTCGAAGACGCAGGACAAGGTGAAGGGTGGACTCTTTCTGAATATTATAATCAGAAAGGGTTCTGCCATCCTCGAGCTGCTTACCAGCGAAGATCAAACGTTGCTGGTCTGGAGGGATTCCCTCTTTGTCCTGGATCTTGGCTTTGACATTTTCAATTGTGTCAGAGGCCTCGACCTCCAGGGTGATGGTCTTTCCAGTCAACGTCTTCACGAAGATCTGCATGCCACCTCGAAGACGCAGGACAAGGTGAAGGGTGGACTCTTTCTGAATATTATAATCAGAAAGGGTTCTGCCATCCTCGAGCTGCTTACCAGCGAAGATCAAACGTTGCTGGTCTGGAGGGATTCCCTCTTTGTCCTGGATCTTGGCTTTGACATTTTCAATTGTGTCAGAGGCCTCGACCTCCAGGGTGATGGTCTTTCCAGTCAACGTCTTCACGAAGATCTGCATGCCACCTCGAAGACGCAGGACAAGGTGAAGGGTGGACTCTTTCTGAATATTATAATCAGAAAGGGTTCTGCCATCCTCGAGCTGCTTACCAGCGAAGATCAGACGTTGCTGGTCTGGAGGGATTCCCTCTTTGTCCTGGATCTTGGCTTTGACATTTTCAATTGTGTCAGAAGCCTCAACCTCCAACGTAATGGTCTTGCCAGTCAAGGTTTTCACGAAGATCTGCATAATGAAGCTGTAAAAACAAAATAAAATAAGTCGATTGGTTGACGATGACAATTGCATAACATTCGCAGGTAATAAAAATGAAAGGTAGACAAGATTTATGACTTAATGCCATTGGTGGATCTGTAAATAGACTTTTGAGGCCGTCAAACTTCTAGGTTTTGCGTTCATGTGAAGGTAGAAAATATAGAAAAAAACTAGCAGTTATCCCTCCTAATTAGGATTTTTGCTTTAATAGTGCGAGTTGATTGTAAAGATTATGAAATTAGAGAATCACTTTTTGAGCTGTCACTCTACTTCCGTGAACTCGGTCGCGTAAAAAATGCTTGATAATACGTAATGGCGCCTATTGGTAAATCGAATTACCCTCCACAAAGGTCATGACATACCCTTACACAACGGAAAAATTAATATTGAAGACTTCTCACTTGAAAATGAAAAACTATTCCCGATTTATTTATCGAATTCACGACAAAAAATTCGATGATAAATATTTATAGCTTCTTGACTCAGCATGACGCCATATCGTTCCAAATAACGGTTTTTATGACTCACCCAAAAGCACCAAACGTTGCCTATACGTTTTTCGGCGATTAATTTATCCGCGAACTTGAGAATTCCGTAATAAATTATCGATTTCACTTCAAAAATAATGAAGATAGTAATTTGGTAAACCGAAAATGTAACAGCGAATTTTCTAAACTATTGATTTTCTCGAAAGTGAACTGACGCAGCATAAAATGGCTGACGGGTGAACAAAGGAAAGTGGAGTTTTACATGAACAAAAACGCTCTCAAAACCCCTAAAATCGACCAAATCTACAAATCGACGAAGAATAAATGAATAAAACTTACCACTACTGGATTCAATGCAAGATAATTCAATCGGAATTAATATAATGAATTTTTTTTAATAATCGTAAATGAAGTAACAGAGAAACCCTCAAGTCAGTATCCCACCAGGGAATGATGCGCAACCGATACGACGCAGCAGTTTTATTGGATCTGTGTCATTGTTGCCAATTCTTGAATCAAAATTGATACGGGCGCGTTTCTATGATCTCCAGATGACGGCACCAATCGACGCTAGGGAGAGCTCGCCGCGCTATTCAATCGTCGAAGAATTAATAATGCCGAAGAATAATTACATAATAATAATCCGATAAAATCTTTAGTCTCCAATTCTCAGTTTCTGTCATTTATTCTATTCCTTCCATCAAAAGACAGGGATAGAAATCGAATTTATGGGTATTTTTCTATTAATCGATTTTAAGACTTTCCGGAGACATTGAAAAAAATTTTTTTTCAATTTCTTACCGCCTACGTTTTTTTGCATTGTTTCATTTCTCCTCGTTAAAATTACATCATAAAATCCAAAAATATGCATATCCCGCACATATTCAAGGAAAAAACAGTGCTTTCTACCGACAAAAGTGAAGGAAAACTTGTTTTCATTCACTCGTTTTACAAAAATTTCAGTCTCGAATTCATAAATTTGACTCTACTCTAGAGACGCGAAAAATTTATGAAATTCAAAATTCATTTATGCATGATCTGCTGCGGATAAAGTAAAACAGATGCTTAACTTTTTCTTTGCAGTGTAACGAACATTAAAAAATAAAAGCTAAAATCGTATGAAAATTATGGCGCAAGGAGAATTTGGAACTAAAAACTATGTCGCGGGACATCCGATTTTTGAAAAATTTTAAAAATTAAAAAAACTAATCAATGAATTAAATTTTAATTGAAGCCAATCGATAGGACTCAAGGATACCTACATTTGAAAGAAAATCAATTCCATCCTTCATTAGCAAACAATGTGAAAAAAACTTTATCAACTTTATAACTCTATCACACATAAATACATACACATATAACAAAATGTAACAGCGAATTTTCTAAACTATTGATTTTCTCGAAAGTGAACTGACACAGCATAAATGGCCGTGTATATACGTACGGACACGGTTTAAAAATTGTATTTTCGAACTTTTGGATCATAATGAGTCGGTATAACACAAAAAATCCGAAACTTAAATTTGGACGATTACAATGTTTCCATTCGGAAGTAAAAAATGAAGTCTAATAACGCAAAAAGCAACGGTCACATGCCTTCTCTCGAATAGGCTGCAATCCCTGCTTATTTTAATTACCTTCGAATCAAATGCACAACGAATGGTGTGATTCGTATCATATTCCGAGAGAATTACAGTAGCTCTACCCTGCGCCCATGAAAATTGCATAAAATTCAGAAATTTTGAGAAGCATAAAGACGAGAATTCTTTAATTTATGGGAATTTTCAATGAATACATGAATATTTAGCATCAAATTATCCTAAATTTTCAAGTAATTGAAAATTCAAGAATATATTTAGCGGAATTTTCCGGTTTTCTATTAATTTTCAGGGAATAATTTAACTAAAACTTACAGTTCTCATTGATTTTTCCTCGAAATTCCTTGGAATTTCAGTGGAACTTAAATGTGATGAAAATTCAGGAAAAGTGCACTGCAAATTTCAGCTAAAAATTTTTAACAGTGTAGAAGTCGCTGGACTAGTATGGAAAATTGATGGTCAAAATTTTTTCGGTCATTTCATGCTTATGGCCAATAGTCATTTTTTTCTGCCCATATGGTCAGATTCTCGGTGCGGTAATTACCGGTCATGACGGTGGTCATTGACGGTCATTTTCCCACTCACATCTGGGACTTTCCAAAGTCTCAAATTAAGACTTTCTAACTTAGCTTCTTACTTTTTTACTTTTGTCTAAAATTATTATTCTGACTTGTTGAACATTAAAATAGTACCTAACAGATGTTGAGAATAATGATTTTTATACGGTATAAAAAAAGAAAAATAATGAGTGAACCGAAAAAAATTAATTTTTGTCACGCTGTGCGAAAAAGTAACGTCCCTTTTCCACACATTGTGATGAAAAATATCGTTCGATGCTCGTGGGAAAAGTGTTTTATGGCTCGTGGGATTATATCCCTCGCCTTCGGCTCGTGCTATAAACCTCCCACGAGCCAAAAAACTCTTTTCCGCACACGTAACGAAATATACTATTTCCTTTGATCTTATTGAGATAATCGAAAAAAAACTTAGTTTTATTCTATGGAATCTAGCGAACATTTTGAAAGACAAATTTGAAACGGATAAAAATTGTAATGCACTGAGAGAAAAACGACAAAATTCTGAAACAAATCTTACTTGTGCCAAGAAAATAGTTTTTTGAAAATGATCAAAAAAGGATTTTTTGTGCCAAACATGCAGAGAGTGCGCCGGAATGAAAAGTTTTTGTCGCAAAAATAGATTTAGTAGTTAAAAAAAAAATAGCATCCTGTGTACACTCAAGAAATGTCATTTCTAGTACTACTCCTTCGTTATTCAATACTCCCATACGTATTTTGCTCCCGAAAAATCTTTGCTTTATGCGAAACAAGGGATAGCAGTTTTTCGTTTCGACTGTCTAACAATCACAGGCAAGAAATGAACCCTTAAATGAAACAATAATAATGATATGATAACAATCTTGTAGCTTAGGGACAAAATATTTGTTGATAAATTTTCCTCTATATGAGATATCCTGCCTTCTTCATCCTGAAAACACACCGTCTAGTGTGAATTATTCGCCTCTTCAGCCCAATATTTTGTTGCTGTCAAAAGCAGAACAATTATTCATATTTGAGACTTTCAAATTCGAACCAAACAAATTCTTTTTTGGAAATTTTCAACTAGCGATTTTGTTGGCCCATACAAGACTTGTTTGAGAACGCGTTTGTTTTGCTCTCGGTGTAGGAGGAGCATTTCAAAGCTAAGCACACGAAAAACGATGTTTTCGCTTACTTTCATAGGTACCCCATGATATACCGAATCTCGCTCGATAGTTATTTTCATCAATCGAAGCCTCTGAAATTTCACCCTGGTCCCCCCTTAAGACGTTGAGGCTTCAAATCAAGACTTTTCAAAATCTTATTTTGAGACCCTTAAAATATTTAAATAATCTATGTTTTTTTTCAGAGTATCAGTGGTTGATTTAAACAAATAGACCATTCAGTTCAATTCTTCGTCGGTATTTGGCTCAAGGAGACAGCGTTAATTCTACATTTTCAAAATTTCCATAGGTTTAAATTGAATTTTGGTTTATCATAGATCCATACTATGATTCCGTCACCATTATCTAAATAAAACAAAACTAAGGTACAACTCACTACATCCCATTAACTTGACCCGATTAGAGTGACCTACTTCAACTACGCAGAAACAAATAAAATTGTTTGTAATGTTGGCGCAATATTTGTCCAGACATGCCCTACATCGCGTAGAATTCGTTAAATTCTGATATAAATAGGCAACACGATTATTCCATTCATCAACAGTTAACAGTTATTCATCGAACAGAAGATTCCAAGTAGCAGACAAAGATGGTTTGCAAAGTATTGTGCATTACACTCCTCGCTTGTGTTGTTGTCCAAGCTGCGCCGAAATTCGAGAGTGTGGTAAGCAGAAAAGTAAACCACGGAAGCAAAAGACTACGCACTAATTACACGCTAAAATCCATGCGATTTCGAAATTTCTACTTGAAATATCAAAATTGTTACTAAACTTACTGCATTTTCCATTACAATCTCGTTAGAAATTCCAGAAAGGTCAATACGCTACATGATTACTAAAATTCAATAATGCAATTTAGTGTAATTTTTAAAAGACTTCTTTCTCCGTGTGACTGTTGACTGTTTTTTCTCTTTTCTGGCTGATGAAAAAAGTTAAGTCAGCGTAAACGACAGATTTGCATTACTATTCTCGCTATCGTTCCAAATCTTCCTATTAATAAACGAGTTATTACAATTATGGTGTCTAGAACCGTGATCCAAGTATTAAAAATTCCTGAAAATACCTAGTTGATACTCTGAAGAGCTGATATCAACTCAAAATTCTGATGAATCAGATTTTTGGTTAATACACGCTTATTTACCAAATCCCCAGCTGACATCACTTACACGGTTCGACAAAATTCCGATATATTCGATCTCGAAAACGAAACCAAACCCATCTTACAGGTTTTTTAATGCTGATTTTACATTTAAAAAAATCTTTCTAACACGTCTAGTTTTCGAAAAAATTGTTAAAATGTTGAGAAATGGCTAAAATGAAATGGATTGATTAATTGATTGATTGAGGTTCATTAACTGTACATTATTTTGTACAACGTAAACGTCACATAAGTCATTAAGCAGTAAACAGAAACACTAAAAAAGATATGAGGATAGAATTACTATCAGTAGCTTAAGGGATAACGGAAGCCGTCGCAAAAGTTTGTTTTTTCAACCCATTTTTCTCCGATTGTGTTTAATATAAATGGCTGAAATTTTCAGCAAGTATTGAGGGGAGTCTGAGCGTTGTCACCCATCTATTATTTTTTAGCATCAGCTGTGTCGTTAAGTTTTCTGCATTTTTTTTTTTGCGAAAAATCTGAAAAATAATAGATGAAGGACAACACTTAGTCTCTCCTCAATACTTGGTGAAAATTTCAGCCATTTATATTGGACACAATCGGAGAAAAATGGGTTGAAAAACCAAACTTTTGCGACGGCTTCCGTTACCCCTTAAACATAAGAAGACATTAAAACATAATTAAGTGAAATGCGACCTGATACCAATGTAAGTTACATCGGAAAACAGTGCAAAGCCATGAAGTAGTCCCATAAGGCACATGTGAACACAGTGATAGACTGATTTATTTATTCCAAACGATATTCGTTAACTAGTAACGAATAGTAGAGTTAAATATGACTAAATGAATATTCGTTAATAGTTAACGAATGGTTCACAAGGTGAAAATCGAGTCAAACAAGCCTTCTCACATGTGCATTTGTTAGCTATTAAGGATGTATTACACCCTTCCGGCCAGAATTCACGTTTTTACTATTTTTTTGTCAAATTATTAATCAGATTGACGCAAAACAATA